GGCCCGGGCCGGGGCTGGGCGAGGGGCCGAGGCGCCGGGCCAGCTCGCTAGGGCTGCGCGGAGGCGGCGCGCCCCGAGCCCGCTGTCCCGCCCTGGGCGAGGGGCGGGCGGGATGTGGCGGCGCCGGGCGGCACAGGGGGTCCTGGAGATTTGTGCTTGTTTAAAAACGTATTAACCAGCAAAAGCCCAGCGAGGCACGGGTAGTGCGGTGTGCGTGATGCGCTGCACCGTGCCCTGCTTCAAGGACAGTGGCAGATGCGGAGCTCTTGGCTGCGCTGGGGCCTGACGTGCTGTCTGAGCCTGCTTTGTCTCTCTCGTGGGTTTTTGTCCTTGGAAGAGCTCGTTGTTTCTTTGTGTCTCAGCTCTAGCGTGCTGGTTATCCTTGCCTCTCGTGTAGGTAGTTTTTCATCTTCCAACATTGGTTTTCACTTGTTCAGCTTCTTCTTTAATTATTTTATTTACAGAATCGGTGATCATTGTTGTTGCAGTATAACTGATTAATAGTTCAACCCTAGGAAAAGTGCTAAACAGTACCTAAACCTGTGAGGTTGATGGTAGGTGACACCCAAATTTTAGCACGCTGTTTTTTCTGCATCAAAACAGTGCTCAAACTGTAAAATGCTGCATCTCAAAGGTTATCCATACAGTCTGAAAAGTTTACGTGGCTCAGGAAGCAATTGTAATTGCCTGTGTCTTTTTTTTTCAGGCTTGTGATCACCATGGCTGCCGTGGATCGATTCTCCCTCCTGTACAGAGAAATCAGTCACTCCTGCAGTTTCTATATGGAAGCCCTGGCTGTTGTTGGAGCTTGGTACACAGTCAGAAAGGTTGTGTCTCTGGCCTTGGACACTTACAGTGCTCTCAGGCTGCATGTGATTCCAAAGCTGAGTGGGGAGGCTGATCTCGTCAAGAAGTACGGCACGTGGGCCGTGGTCACGGGTAAGAGATGAAGTGGTGAATTTCCTTGTGTTTGTGTAACATACCGTGCCAGTGCTGTGAAACTTGGCAGCTTGTGGTGCTGGGTGAGCTCCATGTCACAGGCTGGAGCCTGTATTATCTGTGGTTGCAGGTTAGTCTGCCTGAGCAGTGGCTGTTGTTCAGTGCCTTTATAAATTAATTCCTCAGGAGATGGGCAAGCTAATCGAGTTGACTGACTGCTGAGAAAGAATCACAGCAATTGTTGCCCAAATTTGCAAGGTGCATCTTGATCACCTACAAGTGTAGACACAGATGTAGCCAAGATCCTCTTTTTGCTATGGGGTGTTCATATGTGCCCTAGTTCTTCAGCAGGGTTTGAGTCCTGCACCTCTGACATCCCTGCCTTTCATTAAGGTTCTCCTTTGAGCTCTCTTTTGTCATAGAAAATATGAAACTTTTATGAGGGGAATTGCAGAAGGTGGTTGACAGTGTTGTCTTTACTGTTGTGTCTTTGAATTCAATATATTTAGTGCCACATGATCTCAGGAAAAGGAATAAAGCTATAATTGAAAGAACTGTCAAAAGAGAAGGCTGGTGTTGCTCTGTTTTTCAGTTTTGTGTTCTATTGCTGTTTTCTCCTGCAGGTAGCACAGATGGCATTGGGAAGGCTTATGCTGAAGAACTGGCAAAGCATGGTGTCAACATCATCTTAGTGAGCCGGAACAAAGAGAAGCTGGAGGCTGTATCCAGGAGCATATCTGAAACCTATAAAGTGCAAACAGATTTCATAGTAGCTGATTTCAGCAAGGGGCGTGAGCTCTACCCAGGCATTAAGGAGGCTCTGAAAGACAGAGAAATTGGGATTTTGGTGAATAATGTAGGAATATTTTATGCCTACACAGACTATTTTACTAATCTGTCTGAGGATATTCTATGGGACTTGATCCATGTAAATATTGCTTCTGCTACCATGATGACACATATTGTGTTGCCAGGCATGGTAAAGAAGAGGAAAGGGGCAGTTGTGAACATTTCTTCAGCAGTGTGTTGTCAGCCAACGCCGATGTCGACAGTCTATGGAGCCTCTAAAGTAAGTTGGGCTGTAGTGTTAAATGGCGTGCACTGGAAACACATTCAGCTAGGATGTCAAAATACTTGAATGTTTAAATTTTGGAGTGAATGATACATATATCATGCAGTAAACTCTTCATCCTCACCAGTGCTGAGCCTTGAACCAAAGTCAGTGCTCTTGGATTTTGAGTGAAGTGTGGCATAACAGTCATTTTAGGAGAAATGTTGCCTTTCTCAGATGCACAGAGAGGCAGTTCTGTGGGCCTCATTGAAAGGGTCAATAATTTAATCTCTCCAGCTGAACTGTGCACATACCTCCAGTCTTGCATACCCATATTTGGTAGCAAAAAGGGTTATACTCATGCTCAAGCCACCACTGTGACATGGAGCGTGGCCAAATCAAGCTGCTGCTTCATGTACTACCAAGGAGTGTTCTGGCATATTTGGGGACAAGTGAGAAGAACTCCCCCAGAATTGTCCTTCCTGAAGAGATCCAAGCAATAACGAACAGGACAGGGCAGCTGGGTGGTGCTGGAGGAATGAATGCTCATGGTGATGGTGGATTGACACAACATGACATGCTGCTGAATGCACAAAAGCAGCTGGGATTGTGGAAGGTTCTCACCTGGATCCAGTGTCTAAACACAAGTGGTTATTGCTCCAGCTGTCTGTGGCTGCCCTGTGTTGTAGCCTTGCTCCTGACATAGCTCTTTTATTTCCTTTGGCCTGGAGCAAAAGCAGCTTTTACTACCCCAAGGTGTAAAACTCCCCGCAGACTTCCTTCAGTGTGGAAGCTGGCTTGCAATTACAGAATATCTGCCCCTTTGATTTTGCTAAGTGTATGTAGAACTGCAGTCTGAATTAAAACAATTAAAAGGCTTGAATGAAAAAGAAGAATCACAAATGTACCAAAGTTTCTTGTTTTAGCTGAGATAATTAATCCAAATGCTGGGTCAGCAATCCAGCTTTGAGCCTGGCCTCAGAACACAGAAGTGAGAACAAGCTGCTGTAACATCCTAAGCCTCTTTGTGTACTAACAATGAACAATGCTTGAAGTGGTTGCTTTAATTTTCCTAAAGCAGCTGTAAGAGAATTTGTACAAGATGCTTTCCCAACAAACTGTTGGGAAAACCTTTTGCAAGGCTGATGGAAGCAGCAAGATATCTGCTCACAAGCTGAGTCTAAAATGCTCTTTCCCAGGGAGGCCTGGCTGTGTGGCACAGCAGGGAAGGCATCGGTGTTGCTGCCCTGATAAAACTGAGCCAGGCTCATTTTTCAGTCTGATTCCAGCAGTCCCAGTTATCAGCCTTGTGCTTTTCTTGGTCTGTAAACGTAAAATGAGCTAAAGGAGGTAATGCAGATACACACTAATAAATCTTCTTGCCTAAGAGAGTCCCAGGAAATGAATAATCTGGCTCTGGAGGAGACAGTTGAATGCAAAATTCACCTGTAAATATATTAAAGAATGGGACTTTTATTTTTTTCTTCTGACAATAGTAGGTAGAGCTGTCTGCAGAGTGTCTGCAATGCTCCCAGACCAGATAAGGTGCTTGTTTTAGATGAAATAAATGGTATTGTCTTATTTTTAAGCAGAAATTGTCAGATTGTGATAAGCAGTCACTTTGTCCTGCAAGTTAGTATACTGTGGCAGGTTTATAGCAAATAACACAGAAATGTTTATAATACTACAGAAAATAATATTTTTATATTATTTATTAAGATTTATTGAGCTGGTACATAAAACTTAAAAACTTTTATGTAATTTTAATAAAACTTTGCCCTGAGATTTCATTGTTTAAAAAAAAAGAAAAAAAAAGTGTCTTTCTGCTTTTGTTTTTCTAGAGCTACTTGGACTATTTCAGTAGAGCACTACATTATGAGTATGCCTCTAAAGGAATTTTTGTTCAGAGTCTGACACCATTTGTAACTACTACAAAAATGTTATCATTCAGCAGCACTATATCAAAGAGATCTATTTTTTTTCCTACTGCTGAAGAATATGCAAGTCATGCTGTTTCTACTCTTGGGTTATCCATAAGGACCACTGGTTGCTGGAAGCATGCAATACAGGTAATGGAATTCATTAAACTACTTCATGTTTGTCAGTAGAAGTAAATCAGCTGTTTGCTTTCTTAGGAGTCTGAATGAAAACTGCTCATTCTGAAAAAGTGTAATACATATTGTAGACTTTAAGGCATTGTGCCATATTTTCTCACAAGTTCTGCTTTATAAACTTATGCTTGGGCATGCTTATTTTTAAGATCAGAGAGTGAATCCAATTCTCCCTTGAAATATGCAGCAGAAATGGGAAAGAGACAACTTTTAACTGAAAAGCAGAGTATCTCATTTCCCTTGGGGTGTTGCTGACTGGACAAGTGTTTCACTGTCTTCTGTAAACAGAAATAGCTTTTTCAGTCTTCATATAGTGAGCATATTTGTGCTTTGGGAAAGAGTGGGTAGGGAGGATGGAATAATAGCAGGAAAAAAACTGTATTTTCCTCCATTTGTTAGGGTTTTGATTTTTGAGGCAGACTGTTTTATGCGCATTGGTCACATCTCTTGTGTCCTACCTAGTGGCTTCCTTATGGAAATGAAGAAGTGGGGATTAGTCCAAAAGGAATAAAAGAGACAGGATGCATTCTGGCAAAATGTGGCAATTAATGGAAGTGGACAGAATTGCTGTTGAGAACTTGATCAAATCAGGATTCAGTATTTGCAGAACTTAACTGCTCAGCTGTGGGCACTGCATCCAAAACAGCTGAACGTGTGTGCTTCAAGGGGTTGAATTTAAGGCTCAGCTCATGATATTCAAGCACTTTTTGCCTTGCTTTAGTAGTGATTTGAGAAACTGTTTGCTTTAATTAAATGTATCTTAATCTGTGCCTTCCTTTAATTTTTTTTCTGTTTTCTTGTCTCCCTGTGCCTCTCTGCAGTGGACGCTGGGCGAGTGCCTGCCTGAGTGGATGTGGGCATGGTTTGCTCTGTATTTGAGCAGAATTCTACGCAGGCAAGCTTTGGCAGCCAAAGCAAAATAGGAGTAGCTCGATGTCCCAGGAGACAATTCTGATCAGAGTGCTGCAAAAACGTGTAATGCACCTTGGAGGACTTACTGTAACTTATCCATACCTTGTTAAGCAAGCTACCTAACCTAGACAGCAGAAGTCTGGATCCTCTCTGTATCCTTGTATTAAATAGCTCCTCTGTTGCTTTCCTTTATGGCAGAGTGCTGATGTTCTGGATGTTAATCTCTATTCACTTTCTCATTGACATAGTTGAGCAGGAGCAGCTACAGTGTTATTTCTAACACTAAGTAACACTCCCTCACATAGTGCTACATGATATCTATTTGTAACATTGGGAGAGTGTGCGACTCGTCCGACTCCATCAGAAACGGGACCCGAGAAGAATCAAGCCGTTCAAAACGACAGCTATGAAGTTTGGGAGAAGATGGGGAGCAGCTGAGGGGGTACCAGGGTCAGGGGTCTGTCCACAGCTGACCCAGCCTCAGCTGGCCTCAAAGCCGTTTGCTTCAGTTGTGTTGCCAACAACGCCTTCCGCTCGCTGGCAAAGGGGCTTTAAACCCGTACATTTAATTTGGGTCGGGGTTTGAAGCTGCCATTCCCGGGGCTTAACGGGACCCCCGCGCCGCCTCCTGAGGGCTCCCGGGGCGGCACCGCCCGCGCCTGCGCAGCGCGGCCGCGGGGCTCTCGCGAGAGCGCGCCGGTAAACAGCGCTGAAGATGGCGGCGGGCCGGGCGGCGGCGGCGCGGTGAGCACGGGCGGGCGGGACGGGCCGGAGCCCGCGGCTCCCTCGGGGTCGGGGCGCGGGCGGGCGGCGCTCGCTGCCCCTCGGCTCCTCGCCTGCTGTCACATCTCCGCCCTGCCCGGGCCGGGAGCTGCCCCGCACGGTCCCGGCCGCGCTCGCTGCGGCTGTGGTCCGGCCGGCCGGTGCCGGGCCCGGCTCGTCAGTGCTGGCGGAGCCGCCCGGGCCGCACGGTGCTGCTGCTGCAGCCGGGGATCCTTGCGGCGTGCCCGGCCCGCGGGGTGGATGGGGCTCTGCCAGGGCAGGGGCAGGCTGCGAGCGTGGGTCCCGTCCTGACCCCACGGGGTGCGTGTTAAACAGCTCAGACCTGTGGGTGTGCTGCTCCTTTGCTCTCGGTGTCCATCGTACTTCCTTATCGTGCTTGCGTACAGCCTGTTATTAGCCGCAAGGGTGTTTATTTTGCTCATTTGTGTGGTTGTTTTATTTTATTGCTGTAGGAGTTATTAACCGATGAAGTGATAAGGCAGGCAGAGCTTAAGCGAGGCCAGGAGTCAGTGCGCTGTAAGTTTGTTGAGTTAGGAATGAAGGGGAAACTTTATGGCTGCTAACAAGCAGTTCCCAGTCTGTCATGGTGTTGTCAGTCAAATAAAAATAAAGGTAATTTCTGTCCCTATTCCAAGGAAATACTTGATAATGCTAAATAAAATTAAATGAAAATGAAGTAACAGCTGTTGCATTCAGACTCATTTCATCTGTTGTGCTGTGAGGTCAGCCCATCATTCCCCTGAATCCTGGGAATCCCCTAACAAGGCCCCTGGTTTCCAGTCCTGGTCACAGCTGCAATGTACAGTTCTGCTTCCCCAGGTGCTGTGACAAACCAGACATAAATGTTTCTCTTTTCTTATCTTTTAATGGCCTTGTATCTCTCAGTTTCTGGTTGGGTGTTTGGAGTTCAGAAGAATACTAGCATTGCAGTTTTCCTTGAGTGTATTATGCACTTTGGAACATAAGGAGAGGAGGTTGGAGGTTGTCCCTGCATGTGGAAAACACTTTCAGCACCTTCCTTTAAATTCACATGCTGTTATCAGCTCTTATTTCCTCAGGTGCCCATAACACACACCCTGGCTCAGAAAAGTTTTGAAAGGCTTTTTTCAGGTAGATTTTCAAACACAGTCTCTGCAGCTTTGCCTCTTCTGGTATCTTTTGTCCTTACCTGGCTTTGGCATAGAGTTTGAATCTGATTTGCCTTGTGTAAAATGAGGTTCTGTGCATTATTTCTATTTGCCATGTTTCTGATTGGGGAAAAAAAACCAAAACAAAAAAACCCCATGCTTTTTTAAGTGTCCATGGACACTTTTATCATGTTAGTATTTTATTTTGCACTTTTTCCCTGCCATGGAATTTGCGTGTAGTTTTTAGCTCTTTGCTGCACCTACATGAAGTGTGGTTGAGTTTGGTGGTCATTGTTGCCTGTTCTCTTGTCAGGTTAATACCTGGGAAAAACTTTAGTGTTGGTGAAAAATTGTGACTGGAATATGAGGAACTTTTTTCTCTATTATAGTGTTTCACTCGTGTTCTGCTCTGAGCAAGGGAAAAACTTTACTGTTGGTGAAAAATTGTGACTGGAATATGAGGAACTTTTTTCTCTGTTATTTCTAAAGGAAACTGCCAAAGGTGTCTTCTTTTTGGTGATTTTCAGACTACACAGCACAAATTATTAATGATTCTAATTATTTTCTGTATTACCCTGCCTTACAGGTTGCCTTGCAATCAGCTTTGCTAATTCTTCTAGGGAGTTAAGGTTGCCATCAGAAATGGAGTACAGGACTGAGCTGGCACATCCTGAGTGACTGAATCATTTAATGCAAAATGGAGAAGAAGCGGAGAAAGAAATGAGCCTGTTCACTAGGCTTGACCTGAAAAGACCATGAAATCTCTACTTATTTTGGATCCAGCTTTCAGAATATCCAGTTGATCAGCACAGTGAAAGCAACGTTTACTGAAACAGAAATGAACTAGTTTATAAAGAAGAAAATTGTGATTTGAATATATGGAATTTTTGGAATGAAACCATTTTCTTCTATGACCATGAAGTTTGCAAACATCTGGCTTGTTCTGTTTGTTATTTTACTCTGTGGCAAAAAACACTTTGGTACCAGAGTAGGGAATTCCTCTCACGAGGCTCACATATGTCCTGGATGTTCTCGTCTTACTTTGAAAGTGGAGTTCACTTCGACAGTCGTGGAGCATGGTAATAAAGAGTTAAGCAGTAAAACAAAAAATCCATGTCATGTTCATGTGTATGGCACTGATTTGTGGTGCTTGTGCAATTGTAACACTCAGGGTTTCTGTGGAAGCTCATCATCTGTTAAATTCTCAATATTCCAAAAGAGGAACACTTTCTCAAAGGTTGTTTGTTTAGCTGGAGACAGTGTTCCAAAAAGAGAAGGGAGAGGGAAACCCAGAGGGTTTTAAAAGTGAAAATGGAGTGGGAAGGCTTGGGTGGGCAAGAGTGGTGTGTTTAGTAGCTGTTTGTTTTGACCTGGCCAGTAGTATGCTTGAGGCTCTTTAATAAAATGTAACCACACAGATGGGCCTTGAAGGGGAGAGAAAAGCAAGAAGTCTCTGTGGATTTGTTAAAGAAAAAGTTTGGAAGTGATACTTGCATGGAAGGATGGCAGATAGGAGTGAAGGGAGAGGGTGGAAGGCAGATGCTGCAGCTGGGATGGCAGAGGACAGCAGTAGGACACCTTGACCTGCATCCTGTGAAGCTCTGCTGTGCCTGGGCGTGTGCAGGAGGGTGACAGAAGTGACATTCCTGTGCTACAGTGTCCCTGCATCCTGTGCTGCCTCAGGGACCTGCAGGACTGCAGTGAAGCTCTGCTGTGCCTGGGCATGTGCAGGAGGGTGACAGAAGTGACATTCCTGTGCTACAGTGTGGTGGTGTGAGCTGGAGCTGAGCCCACAACCTTAACACAGTCAGTGTGGTGGTGTGAGCTGGAGCTGAGCCTGCTGGCAGTCACTGGTGCAGATCAGGGACTGGGCTGTTGAGTCTGACTTTGTTTTCTGAGGTTGTCATAATTAGTGTCAGTAATTTCCACTAAAGCTCAGTACCATGTAGAGTCTTTAAACCATACCAGTTAAGAAGCACGCTGAATTGGCATATCAGTTTGTAACAATAAATCTGTTCCTTCACCCCTGCTCCTCTCATGTCATTTTGCTTTTCCCTAATATTTACAATTCTACCTTCCTTTCAAAGGCTTTTGTCCTATTTCTTATGTTTCCAACACTCCCACCCCTTTACATAGTGCAGAAATAAATTGCAAGCTTGTAAAAGCAGCAGAAAAGGGCCTCAAATTGTGATTATTTGTTCCAAGTAAAGAAAAATTCAGACTTTGCAATGTGAATTCATGTGTAAGCTGCTTAAACACCAGTTCTGATAAAGCTGTGCTCTTGTTCCAGAGTATATTGTGGCTTTCAATGGATACTTCACAGCTAAAGCTCGAAGTAAATTTATTTCAAGTGCATTAAAAAGTGGTGACATTGAGAACTGGAGGATTGTACCTCGCAACAACCCGGCCAGTGACTACCCGAGCGATTTTGAAGTTATTCAGATCAACGAGAGGCAGAAGGATGGAGTGCTCACTCTGGAAGATCATCCGAACATCAAGCGTGTGACACCTCAGAGAAAGGTCTTTCGGTCACTCAAGTATTCAGAGTGTAAGTTACTTTCTGTGTGCCTGCGTGGCCTTGGGAAAGTGTTCTTAGCCTTATTTCACAATATTAGCTTAGCATTACACAAATGTAAGTGTGTAATGTGTAAAGTGCCTTGCAGTTTTTCTTTAATTAACAGAAATATGTTCTTTTGGTTATAAAATGGCAAGGATTTTGTCATACGTTTGCTGAAGCATGCTTTATTTCCATCTGCAACATAGAAACATTTCTTTTGCAGCAGTCACTTACCATAGAACAGGGACCTCTGTATCCGTAGTAGATAAACTTCTACTGATGTTGATTAGAGAAATTAGATTCTCAATATTCTAAAACACTTGTTGTAACAAATACGATGCCTTAAGTTTGCATAAGAATCACTTCTATTACGGCTTTCCTCGTGCCATTTTTAATTTTCTCCATCCTAACTCTACACAGCTGACCCAATGCTGCACTGCAATGAAACCAGGTGGACTCAGAAGTGGCAGTCATCTCGGCCCTTGAGAAGAGCAAGTCTGTCTTTGGGCTCTGGCTTCTGGCACGCCACAGGCCGCCACTCGAGCCGGCGCTTGCTGAGAGCCATCCCTCGCCAGGTTGCTCAGACCTTGCAGGCAGATGTCCTCTGGCAGATGGGTTACACAGGTATGCTTGTGCTTCTTGCCTGAGAACAATAACCTTCTTGGAAAAACAAGTGAAGTGTAAGGAGAGGCTAATTGACTCGTGTGTGTTAACCTTTCACTGGCTGCCAGGTTGCAATGATTGAGAAATAATTTGGTTTGGAATGTATTGTGTATTTATGGAGTGCTTGTTTGTATGTGTGTACTTTACTTAGGGGTAAGTTCATCATGTTTGTGATCTTTGAATTTCTGAGTTGGAATATGAGTTTATGTATTACCTATGGCTGACTTGAATTGTAAATTGCTTACTACATTAAACAAAAGTTCTCTTTTAACTTGATAGACTAGATTTGCTATGGAGCTGCATCAGAAAAAGCAATGCTTTCTTTAATAGGTGCTGGTGTGAGAGTAGCAGTGTTTGACACTGGTCTGAGTGAGAAACATCCACATTTCAAAAATGTAAAGGAGAGAACAAACTGGACTAATGAGAGAACCTTGGATGATGGTGAGTTACTGTGCAGTTTTCCAGCTGGTGCTGACACTGGTGTGTTTTGTGCTTGCTGCTGTGCTGCTAACATCTGTTAAAATGGTGTATCTTGATATTTAATGCTTAATTTTGCAGTGTCCCAGGCACTTTATACTCATACCAAAGTTAGCAGGGACTATTAAGGTTCCAAAAGGGGGGTGCATAAGTGTCCTTGGAGTTGTATGTGACACTTCATCATAGCTGTTGAAAAATGTCAGGGCAAAAAGTTACTGTGCACCTGTCAATACGTTGCTAGAGAAGATGGCATTTAGAGTAAACCCAACAAAGGTGTTTTCTTTCTTACTCCTTTTCATGTTGCTGTTTCACAGTGGTACATATTTCCATACTGAAGAGGGACAGCATTTTCCTTCCTTACTTTGTAGTCCTAAACTGATCAGAGTTTGGCACCTTCCTGTAAAGATTTTCTATTCTGTATAACTGAACCTCTTTTATTTTCTACACTGTGTTCCTTTTTTTTTGTATGTTGACCCTGACTTGCCCTGACTGTGTGCTTTCACAGATTATTAACTTCATACAGTTTGGGTCAGTGAGTCTGTTGGCCATTGAATCTTCCTAGAGTTCAAAGTAGATGCTTGTATTGCTCAGGCTTGTGTGCACCTCCATAGTTTTGTTTACACAGTAATTACTTTACATTGCAGCACCTGCTTTGGATAGCTCTTTCTGTAAGTTCTGTGCCCAGAGGGTTGCTGGACAGGCAGATTTGGAGTACAGAAATGTAAGAAGTCTGCATTAAAATACATTGACTTTGAAATGAGCTGCATTTTCCAAAATACTGGTTTTTGTCATGATTTCATTGGTAGCAATCAGGAGTGGATGGACTGGACAATTAATCACCCAAGTTTCATCAGCTGGTTGTCTGGCTACAGTGTGCTGCAAATTCTGTCCTCACTGAACTTGGTAGCAAAATATGGTTCAAAAAGACTAGGACTGAACCCAGCACTTGTGGTTTGTTGTAAAGTCTGTTAAATGTATGTGATTTTTGCTATAGGTGTTGTTCAGTGGTAAAAATTCTTGGCAATGGAATTCTTTGTGTTCTAATGTCTTATTTTGTTTCCTTCTCATGCTTACAGGTTTAGGCCATGGGACTTTTGTAGCAGGTGTGATAGCCAGCATGAGGGAATGCCAGGGATTTGCTCCAAATGCTGAACTGCACATTTTCAGAGTGTTCACTAATAATCAGGTAGCTATTTTACATGTGTTTCAATTCCTGCCTTTCCAGGTTAATGCTGTAATAATCCTTTCCTTTGGGGGTATTGCATGCAGTCATAAATGTAGACATTGATAAGTGGAAAGGATACAGGTTTCTATTTATAAATAGAACTGACAGATTTCTCTCAGTTTCCATATCTGGTGTGTTTTTCAGAAACAGGATATGGAAGTCTTACCTGTATAATGGAGTCACTTAAATGTACTGAATGCTAGAAATTTAAGACCATTGTCAGTTTTGTGCTTTATTTTGGTGTTGTTTTTCCTCTCTGTCTAAAGTCTGCATTGTCATGAAATCACAGACTTTTTCTAATGGTAACTTTTTCCCCTCTTTCATGCATAGGTCTCATATACATCTTGGTTTCTGGATGCTTTTAATTATGCAATTTTAAAGAAGATAGATGTACTGAATCTAAGTATTGGTGGGCCAGACTTCATGGATCATCCGTTTGTTGACAAAGTTAGTATGAGGAAATGAAGTGGGCACAATGTTTGTATCTCTCACACAAATGCTGGACTTGCAGAGCTACTTGTTTGTGTCTGGTCCTGTTGACAGATTCTGTGTTTCATTTGTGTGACAGAAATTTTGTACAGTGTACAGGCTTTTAGGAATATGTATAAGGAATGAGTTAAAAAAAACCCCAAGCACAACGCAGATGTTCATGGAGTTATGGAAAGTAACTTTAACAGAATGCTTGAAAATTACTCCCAAGCAGACAACTAAAAGGACCTTTTATATGAGATACTTAACTAAAATCCATTCTTGGTTGTTGTTTTTTTTAATCTCTGCATGGTTAAATTATT